AAAATTCTTGATATTGCACCTTTTTGTACGCAAATAGCGAAGGTAATTAACTTCATAGAAATTGCTTAATTAACTAATTAACTTAATTAACTTAGGTTGGATCCTTACTTGCTTAATTGTTTTTTTAAGCTGTATATGCTATTTCTAGTCAGTAATCAGTAAACAATAGTTATCATTTGTTAATTCGGAAGGATAGCAATCCTAGCGTTTTTCTTCTTCCTTTCTTTCGTTTTTGAAATCTGCACTTCGATTAACATTTTAGTTATGTTATGGAAATGCTGTGATCATTAAATGCGATTTTGCAGAGAATCGAAAAAGGATTTAAAAAAGTATGTTATTCATTATACGGTGTTGTATCACATTCTGGAGATCTCTCATCCGGTCATTATGTCGCGTTTATCAAGAATCGATACCCTTCTTCGCAAACAGAAAGATTTTTCTATGAAGCCGCAAATCTTTCGCCACCGGATTCAGTCACTGCTTGTAGCGTTTCAGAACTGAAAGAGTTAGATTTTCTTTATACAAAATTTATTTTGAAACTATAGTAACTGTCTGGTTTTTAAATGGATTATTCCACTTCAAAATTGAGAGAAAAACTTGGATATCGTAAATCTTCTTCGTGATGGTAGATTTGCTTGATCCTAACCATTTTCAGTAATTGGCTATCTTCATTATTCTTTTTATATGAAATATTTTCTGCAGAGTAATAGAGGGACCATGTGATGGCGAATGGTACTATGCAAGCGATATGAGAGTAAGCTCTGTGTCGGAAACACGTGTGCTTGCTGCCGAAGCATATGTCCTTTTCTACGAACGAATTTTTTAATGAATTCTCTTCTATTTACTTACGGTGTTTTATCACTAAGTTAATGGCAGCTAATTATAGTGTTTCAAAAGTCTCTTTTTATGACCAAGTATGTTTGCTCACATCATTTGCAATCCAGTTATACTCCATTCTCCTTTCTCCCTCATCGATTTTTATTAAACTGTAATTTATCGAATGCAAGAATCAGTAGTTTCTGAAATGCCCTTCGATAATACATGTTTATAGCCTTCTGTATTGTATTCTAAGTTGCTATGTTGTTCTAGAAAAATATTTCATTCAAAATACTATTTAATGGTTGATTATGGATTTTTTGCCTTTTTTAAAGCATGAGCGAAAGCGAAAGAAGTAAATTATTCACATCACATTATATTTTAACGGGAGTACTGATGGCCGGTGTTTGTAGTCCTTCGATCTTAGCATGCCACTATGTTTCGCAGTGCTGTACCGTTACGCTTGGCAGTGTATTGTTGAAAAACAACTACGGGTGTATTGTTGAAATTAAGGGAAGCCAAAAAGTGATCTTTTTCTTTTTTGGATACTGAAATTTACTTTTATTGGTCTTTCCATAGTGTCGAAAACTTCATTGATTTATTGTGTATAATTGGAATAAAGTTGCACCATATCTTGTTTTTTTTTTTTAATTCTTTGGAACGGTTTATTAACTAAACTTTCGCAAGGTTGTTATTTAATAAATAGTGAGGCAATCATGGTTACTTTTGACACGTTAACAATTGGTTCTTAAGAATTTTCCAGAACTATGTTATGGATGAAGACGATATCGCTGACTGTGATCAGTCGGAACTTCACGGAGGTTAGTCGGTTTTGTATAAATGGTAGCAAAGAGCTTGTATCATTGATTTTCTATTCAAAAAATAAATTTTGGACTTCATTTCTGAAGTAAGTATTCCTTATTTTTCCTTTTCAACGAAATATGCCAGTGATGAAGAGTAGTGCTGTTATCACTCATGTTAGTCATTTGCAGTGAGTCTTAGTGGTCGGGAAATATTAAATTCGTTGTGATCGAATGTAGTCGTTTACTGCTAACATTGATTGCATCGTGAAATAAGCTTCATCGATTATATCTTTTTCCTGTTTTGTTTTCTATAATTTGCTTTATCTTTCCTTCTTTTTTGAACTGCGTCCGTGGAACATCGCTTTACTGTCCGTCAAGATTGCTAAATTCGACAAATGAATAAATTAAAAGAAATAGATGTATCATACAAGTTTATTTCAAGCTTCAGTCCAAGTTTCATTTCAAATATGACAAATCAGTTTGTACAATACAAATACATTATATCTGTCTTTTATCATCATCCATTCATTTTTTTAAATTACGGATATGATGCACTGACTCGTAAAGCCGCGACAACACGATTTTGGGCATGTGTGGAGTTATGCTATTGATTACGCTAGTGGATGGTTAAGGAAGGCGGCCAATTTAACCCAAGTTCTTGAATCTGTGACCTCATGTGTCTTGACAGCTTTTCTCGTTAACATCATAATTATTCATATTTATATTTAGACTTGTGGTTAAAGAAGTGCTTCACAAGCACTTTTCATTTAATTTTTTCCTTTTTTCCATCCGGTTCTTTTCTCTTTCTTTTCGTCTTTGCTATCGCTGCATACAGGGTATTACAAAAATAGCTGTAGAAGGCATACACCAATTTTTTTAGTTGTTTCCTCAACTCTGAATTGTACTTCTGTGATAATGTAATAATCATTACCATTTCTTTGGCTCTTACTTTCATACCTTCATTTCTTCTATGTCCTTTCATATCTCTATTCTATCTGAGGATATATGGAGCAATCTGATTTTCATGCTTGTCAGAAACAACTTTTGCATACATTTATTAACTTTTACACAATGCAATATAAAACAAAAATATATCACTAAAGATGCATTCCAAAAATGGACAATGAATTGTTATAAAAAAAGAAAAAAATGGATACCATTCAATGTTCACTTTTTTCAACACTGCTGATTTTCATTCTGTATATATGACAATGAAGAAAAAAGATCGTTTTTAGGTATAGTCTCTCACATCATGAAAAATTTTCTCTACAAAGATAAAGCTGATTTGAGAATCTTATTTTGTTGTTCTCTTTTATCCAGTGTCAAATGAATTAATTCCTTCACTAACGACGTCAATGATTTTTGGATTTTTCTTCCATTAATTTTCGTCAACTTGCCCTCAATTTTTAAAGTGTATCACTGATAATGGCTCCCACAATTTTTTGAGGAATGTCACTTTTTTCCTTTTCAAGGGGTATTGTTAGAATAGAAACGCACGCCCTTTTCTTAAGAACAAAATAATTCGTAACGCTACATTTAAATTATGTCGGCTTCTTACGGAAGTCGTGGTGTTCGCAATCCATCTTTTCATATATTTCCCGGTCCTAACTTATTCCTCTTTTCATTTTTACCCATATAAAAGCGCTACGATTCTATACATTTTCTTCTGCTGCTGAGAAACATATATCTTTTATTATCTCTTATACTTTTCTCTTTGCAGATAAAAATAGTTATTGCATATTAGTATATGTTATTTCATCACTTGGAACAAAACTTTTTTTGTTACACAGCCATTCTTGAAAATTATACAGAATTTAATGATTTATTTCTTAATTCTTTTTTTGCTGTATTTGCATAAATTTGAGAAGGAGGATAATTATAAAGATGTCATATTTGTTTCTATGTATTAGTATCGCTCTTTGCAGGAAGTGAGAGGAATTGAAAGAGCTTCGTTTAAAAATTTCTCGAGAAATAACTTATTGACATGATCTGGCATTTTTAGGATATCGCGTGCATTTTGTATGATTAAAAATATCCTTTCTACAAACGAGTGTATGAAATTGGAACGAATAGTCTGAATCATAACTAGGAGAATTTTGTTTGTAAGGAATTTGATGGTTATATCTTACATTTTTTTATATTTTGCATTCTACATTTTGGCTATATTCTATAGTTTCATAGTTTTTATTTCAATAAAGCAAAGATTTAATCAGTTTTTCCCGTATCGTTTTCAAAGCTTCCTCTCATTCTTTACAGCCATATATTACGTTTTTTGCTCTGCTCTTATCCTTGAAATTTGATCAAATTTGTTTATTTCATCGTGGTTTTTCACAAAACAGCATTCCATTGAAGAAATGGTGTGATGAAGTTAGTATGTATTTGAAGAAAGCGAAAGGATGTGTTCTTTTAATTACAACCACGTTATAATAGCATCTTCCTCTTTGACAAACACCTGAAAGTTCAAAATCACAAATTGTTTGTACCGTTCTCCATATCAAGTTTTTTATTTTTTTAAATTCATTCTTCATAAATGCTTCAAGTTATTATTCTATTTGTTGTATCAGTATTCCTGTTCATTAGGTGTCTGGTTTTATAAGAAGTAAGCAATACACTTTTTTCTTCTCTTTTCAATAAGCAATATAGTTTTTGAGAAGCTTTGATATAAGCTTTGACCAGAAAGATTATATCATGCAGAGTGTGTGTTGAGTATTTGTTAAATAGAAATTTTTATCAGGTGTATGTTGAGCAACATTAATGGTTCGCTTTTGGAATATTAATCACAGCCCATTGTTGGAAAGTTCATTACAATCGATCCAGTTAATTCAACTTAACTTTCTGTAGACCTTTTTACATGAATTCTGGATCTCTCGAAAATTCGTCATTCTAATTTGTACCTTTGTTTGTCAGTCCATTTTTTCTCATTGCTTTATTTTAAAATGTCTGAGAAGTATCTCTCGCTAATCTTGGATAATTGCAAAACTTCTAAATTTTATTTGTTTAAAATAGGTCGCTGCAGTTATTGTCAAAAGCGAAATTTGAAAATATAATTTTAATTAGTCTTACATATTCTATTATTTACAGAGCAATTGTCAGAAAGTTGTAAGTGAACGAAGTCCAATGGGTTTTACTGAAATTTTTGTTTTAACTTCATTAAATTTTCACTGTTCTTGTGATTTGTGCTCGGTCTTGT